AAGTTGCACTACTGAAGGCAATAGAAAATTGCATTAGGCTTGTCAGTAAAAGCAAAAAATTCAAGAAACCACTGTGGTACTCCACAGATGTGGCCCAAATAGTAAAAAACAAAAAGTTAGCATTTAGTAATTATAAAAAAAAACAGAGTGAGGAAGACAGAATGATCTATAAGATTAGGCAGAAAGAGGCTAAGCAAGTTATAAGAGCTTCCAAATCACACACAGAAGAGAAAATAGCACAGTCAGTAAAAAAGGGGGACAAAAAATTTTTTAGATACATAAATGAGAAAAGAAAAGTAAAACAAGGATTAGTTAGATTAAAAACAAAAGAAGGAAGATATGTAGAAGAGGATAAAGGTCTAGCTGACTGCCTCAATTAATATTTTTGTTCGGTATTTACAGGTGAAAATGAAGGAAAGGGTACCTCAGTTAAGAAAAAAGGATAAATGAGTCATTTATTACACGTGAGTTTACAGAGGAAGAGGTTCTATTTCAACTGTCAAAAGTAAAGACAAATAAGTCAATGGGACCTGATGGAATACACCCAAAGCTGTTAAAAGAGCTTAGTGGTGTACTAGCAAAACCATTAACAGATTTATTTAACCAATCATTGTTAACAGGAGTAGTCCCAGAAGATTGGAAGTTAGCGAATGCTGTGCCCATTCACAAGAAAGGTAATAGGGAGGAGTCGGGCAACTATAGGCCAGTAAGCCTTACTTCAGTAGTGGGGAAAGTGATGGAAACCATGTTAAAGGATAGATTGTTGAACATCTAAAAACACATGGATTTCAAGATCAGAGACAACATGGGTTTACTTCAGGGAGATCATGCCAAACTAATCTTATTGATTTTTTCGATTGGGTAACTAAAATTATAGATCAGGGTGGTGCAGTAGACATTGCTTACCTAGATTTCAGTAAGGCTTTGACACTGTTGCACATAGAAGGCTTATCAATAAACTGCAATCTTTAAGTTTGGATTCCAATATTGTTGAATGGGTAAGGCAGTGGCTGAGTGACAGGCAACAGAGGGTTGTAGTTAATGGAATATATTCGAAGCTTGGACTTGTCACTAGTGGGGTACCTCAGGGATCTGTACTTGACCCATTCTCTTTAATATTTTTATTAGTGATATTGCAGAAGGTCTTGATGGTAAGGTATGTCTTTTTGCTGATGATACTAAGATATGTAACAGGTTTGATGTTCCAGGAGGGATAAGCCAAATGACAAATGATTTAGGTAAACTAGAAAAATGGTCAGAATTGTGGCAACTGACATTTAATGTGATAAGTGCAAGATAATGCATCTTGGACGTAAAAACCCAAGGGCAGAGTACAGAATATTTGATAGAGTTCTAACCTCAACATATGAGGAAAGGGATTTAGGGGTGATTATTTCTGATGACTTAAAGGTAGGCAGACAATGTAATAGAGCAGCAGGAAATGCTAGCAGAACGCTTGGTTGTATAGGGAGAGGTATTAGCAGTAGAAAGAGGGAAGTGCTCATGCCATTGTACAGAACACTGGTGAGACCTCACTTGGAGTATTGTACGCAGTACTGGAGACCGTATCTTCAGAAGGATATTGATAACTTAGAGAGAGTTCAAAGAAGAGCTACTAAACTGGTTCATGGATGGCAGGATAAAACTTACCAGGAAAGGTTAAAGGATCTTAACATGTATAGCTTGGAGGAAAGACAAGACAGGGGGGATATGATAGAAACATTTAAATACATAAAGGGAATCAACACAGTAAAGGAGGAGACTATATTTAAAAGAAGAAAAACTACCACAACAAGAGGACATAGTCTTAAATTAGAGGGACAAAGGTTAAAAAATAATATCAGGAAGTATTACTTTACTGAGAGGGTAGTGGATGCATGGAATAGCCTTCCAGCTGAAGTGGTAGAGGTTAACACAGTAAAGGAGTTTAAGCATGCGTGGGATAGGCATAAGGCTATCCTAACTATAAGAAAAGGCCAGGGACTAATGCAATTATTTAGAAAATTGGGCAGACTAGATGGGCCAAATGGTTCTTATCTGCCATCACATTCTATGTTTCTATGTCTACCCGCTGGAAGCTGGATCCTGGTCATAGGTCCAGGGTGGGTAGGAGATGGTGAGATCCCAATCAAGCTGCGGCGGTTCGTGGGGTTTGCGGTAGTTATGTTGTTGCAGCGCAGTGCTTATGGTACTCGTTAGTACTAGGAAGCAGTGATTGATGGAGGTACCCGGTCGGGGTGCCAGGCGGTCCGTCACAGTATAACCAAAAACAAACCCCATCCCTATCCATATTAATCATACAAATATAACCAGATAAATTAATATGCAAAGAGGATGTCAGCATAGATATTATTTGGTGTGTACTCAGAAGTAACAAAGTGTAATAAATTATATTATACTGTTCTTTATACATAATAAAATTAGTTAAGAAATAATAAATGCACATAGGAAAACTGCCATCAAAGGCTACGGTAGGTAAAATGCTCATCTACTTATATTAGGAATAAAACAAAAAGCTTCCAAAACCTTTTATAGATCATTTAGCACATATATTCTTAATGTTTATCTACCTTTAATAAAAAAATGCAAAAAAAGGTCCAAAATCCACAATCGAACATTAAACATATATGTACAGAGATACAGACAGACATACAGACAGACATACTGACATACACACTGACAGACAGACATACATACTGACATACATACAGACATACATACTGACAGACTTACTGACATGACATACTGACATACATACTGACAAACAGACATACAGACAGACATGCAGACATACTGACATACATACTGACAGACAGATATACTGACATACAGACAGACATGCATACAGACAGACATACTGACATACATACATACAGACAGACAGACATGCATACTGACATACTGACAGACATACATTCAGACATACATACTGACATACATACAGACAGACATGCATGCATACAGACAGTCATACAGTACTGACATACATACAGGCATACTGACATACATATAGACATACTGACATACATACAGATATGCTGACATACATACATACTGACTGACATACATACAGACATGCTGACATACATACAGCTGCAAGAAAAAGTATTTGGACCCTTTGGAATGATATGGATTTCTGCACAAATTGGTCATAAAATGTGATCTGATCATCATCTAAGTCACAACAATAGACAATCACAGTCTGCTTAAACTAATAACACACAAAGAATGAAATGTTGCCATGTTTTTATTGGACACACCATGTAAACATTCACAGTGCAGGTGGAAAAAGTATGCGAACCCTTTGGAATGATATGGATTTCTGCACAAATTGGTCATAAAATGTGATCTGATCATCATCTAAGTCACAACAATAGACAATCACAGTCTGCTTTAACTAATAACACACAAAGAATGAAATGTTGCCATGTTTTTATTGAACACACCATGTAAACATTCACAGTGCAGGTGGTATTTGGGGTACATCCGAAACTTGGGGAAAAATGTAACTGTGTTAATTGGTGTAACGGACCGTTTTGCAGACAAGGGGTAAAAACCGTTTAGGCGATCGTCCCCCTTTCCAGAGATGCAGGCACAACTATTGTAGAACACCAAACTCACAAACCGCCAATAAGTGAATGCTCCAAACTCCCGAACGGCATCCAATATAGCACTCCAACCACACGAACTGGAACCATACGAATAGGAAAAGCATCCAAGCGGCTTACACTCCTAGCA